CCCAATCCTAACTACCCTGCCTCTCCTGCTCCATCCCTCCCCTCCTCACCTCATCCTCTTTAGAACCTCCCCCCCCCCCCTTGTTCTCTCTCTCTCTCTCTCTCTCTCTCTCTCTCTCTCTCTCTCTCTCTCGCTCTCCCTCTGTCTCCCCCTCTCTCTCTTTCTCTCTGCTACTTGATAGAGATAGCAGCATCCTCTTACAACTCATACCTTCAGCTTTTCTTTTTTTTTCCTAAATTTTTGTTGTTGTTGTTTTGTTTGTTTTTAGGGGAGGGGAGGGGGGATTGCTTACCATTTCTCTGTTGGTTTATCTTTTATTTCTATTATTACTTCTTCGTTTACCTTTCTCGACACGACTGATTTTTGTCAGGCTGCCTTCTACATTTTTGTCCCTTTCATTTAATGTATATATTTCTTTACCCAAATGTGTTCTTTGGTTGGTTGGTGGGTGTTCTTGCGTGGTAGGCCCTTTCTTCCTTACCGAACATCTAGTCCTTATGTCTCGTCCTTCTTTTAATTGTATGTTACTCTCTTGTAACACCTCTTACCTTCGGCACTGTATCCATATAAGCTGTATAACGTACGCCCTGGGGTCATTTTGTACCCCCGGGGTTGTATTCTTCACATTTTAGAATACTTCTAGTACGATTATATCGTTGAAACTTTCAGTATTTCTTAAAAAAATCATTTTGACAGACTGCTATGCAAAGCGTACGGATCCGATTAACGAGTAAATTTCCTCTTTGGAAAGTGGTGGCACAGAGTCCCCACATCGTATGGATACGATAGTAAAACACGACGGACGGATAGGGTTAATAAAACTAATTTAGATTAATTCTTTCTGATAGCTCATTTTCTGTTTATCTTTTCAAGCTCTAGGTGTAATGTTTATACATACCTATCTCTTAGTTGGTTTTAAATGCTAATGTTAACCTGTTTGTACCTTATTGGGTTGTCTCCTGTTTCTGCCAGTCAGCTTGACACGCTTACTTTCTTGTTGTTTTTTACTCACTTCCCCTCTTTTTCTGAGTATTTTTGTGTACGTTTCGCTGTCCGCCTTTCTCTCCCCCCCCTCTCTCTCTCTCTCTCTCTCTCTATCTATCTATCTATCTATCTCTATCTCTATCTCTATCTCCTTCTCTCTCTCTCTCTCGTCTATTTCTCTCTCACACTCCCCCTCTCTGTCTCTCCAAGTCTCCTCCTCACCTCCTCTGTATTTTTATGCGTGTCTCTTTCTCTCTATTTTTCTTTCTCATTCTCATTCTCTCTCTCTCTCTCTCTCTCTCTCTCTCTCTCTCTCTCTCTTCCCCTCTCTCTCTTTCTCTCTCTCCCCGATAACAACAACAACAACAACAACAACAACAACAACAACAATAATAATAATGATTGTAAAATAATTATTTATTAAAGAATCATCACCATCATCATCATCATCATCATCATCATCATCATCATCATCATCATCATCATCATCATCATAACATATTGCATTTTCACACTTCACACACCTATTCGAAAGTAGGTTTTTTAAGCTTTGTGTAATCTATTACAGTGGTAATGACAATTTAATAATCAAAGCAATCTATTGTTGATAAGAATAGTGGAGAATTGACATGTCAGCCTGCTCTGCACTGGTGTGTTGAAAAGTTCTACACTTGCAAATGTCGGTTACTGTTCTGAAAGATTTCGACACGGTAGCCCCAGCTAAACAAACGGGAACTGCTTATCAGAACAAGCAATCTCTTGAACGTGTTGTAAATGCACGAAGGAAGTCAAGGCTCTCCTAAATCTTCATTCAGTCTGCGAAAAGTCTCAAGTCAGCCAACTTGTTGATTCAGTGCAGACTAGAACTGGGCGAAGAGTCGATTCTGGAACCGATTCCAGCGATTGGTGCTTCTGAAGAAATAGTTCCGGTTCCTTTTCCCAAGAACCAACGTTTACTAATTACTTAGTTGTAGATTTTTCCTTTTTTTTCTCCTTTTTTTCTTTAAAAAAAAAATATCTTCGACAAATAAATGTTCGTTCATCGCCGTGTTCCGAAATCAAGGTTATAAATCCATTGCTACTCGCCGGAAGTAATCATGTAGTTGTCTCGGAGCCGGACTCGGCGAAGGTACTCAGTACTCGCTGGAAATAATTGTAATTGTATAGGAGTCGGAACTACCGGAAGAAATCACATCAGTAGGGAGTTACTGGGTCCTGACTCGATTCCTACGATTCCAAACTTTCAATAAACGGGCACATTTATTATGCTTGTTTAGAGTAAAGTGGAGTGCTCTCTTATCTGATTTTACTCAATTTGTATAAGGGCAACCTCCAGTTTTTCCCCCGCTTTTTCAAACAAGCTTGTTTTTTCTGGATCAAGCGGCATTCATAGTCGATTGATGCTAAGGGTGAAGTGACCACCGGAGTTGCAAACACCACAATATCTTTCTAATTTACTACATGAGGATATTTCATCTCGAAATTTACGATCTATTGATAATAAAGAACGCCCCATTTTTTTAAAGCCTCAAGGCAGGGCCTTTTGAAATAAAACAATGGAGGTAGAATCTAGGTCTTTTTCGATTGCTGCTATCTGAGATTGTCCCCC